ATCTGGGCACTTTCCAGCCTCCTCGGTCCCCTGAGTCAGAGACCACAGGGCCCAGCACAAGGGGCACATGACAGATTTGGGCAGCAGCTCATTCCAGCTCTCACTGCTAAGGAAGGCGATGGCAGTCCCCTCCCTCCTCTCTGCCGCAGGCCCACAGCAGGCAAACAAACTGTGTAACAACCCAGCTAAGCCTAATATTATTTTAGAACCATTCCCCAAAATAATTTGGTGTTGGCAACATACGCACTGAAAGAAAACAATTTTTATTTAATGGTTTTCTCCTAGTACGGGCACACTTTTGCTTTTGCACACCGAGATGCTGGTTCTTCTGCTGAACAAACTAAATTTATTTTCAAAAAGTCTGTGCCTTATAGGAACTAAAAGCTTCTGGACAAAACCTTGGCCAAAATCTGCAAGGACAAACAGCACACAGCACAAACTGAAGCAGTGTTAACCAAAGCACACCCACCCTGTAAAAATATATTGAGGCTTTCATATAGCTATTACTTGCACCTGTTATAAACACGATCCCTTAGTCACACTGACCACACTTACATATTAATATGAATTGTTACTTACTTTCCATTGAAAATATATTATATACAAATATATATATAATACAAGGGAAGCACTATTTTGTACGAGTGACCCAATGGAGAAACCGCAGATCACAGCAGCGCAGGTGCATGTGGGGAACTCCAAAGAGTCATTTCCACCCTTTCCCACATTTCCAACCCCTCCTGCCCGGCTCCATCGGCGCCCGGCAATGGGAGTGCACGACCCCCCCGCCTCCCCCCGTCAGGGGCTCCGCGGGGCGGGCTCGCACCGGCCGAGGCCCGGGCGGCTGTGCCGGCGGAGGGCAGGGGTTTTGGCGTGGCCGCGATGTCCGCACTCACCTGCGGGGCGGCGGAGGGGCGGCCGCGGCCCCCCCGGCCGCGCCCGCCGGGAGCGGCTCCGCCCCCGCCGCAGCGCCACCTGCCGGCGCGGAGGACTGGCCGCCTCCCACACGGCGCTCTGGCCCGGAGGCCGCCTGATCTCCCGGGATTCCCGAACTTTTTTCCCGTTTTATTGTGAGGAAGCAGGGACCTACAAGCCAGATATGCGTCTCCCTACATATTACCACGTGTTTATTGACTGCTCACCAGTGCCAGCGCCTCACCACCACCCTCACAGGAGAGAATTTCTTCCTGATGTCTACTCTCAATACTCACCTTCCTTTAATTTAAAGCCCTTACCCAAAGGCCTTCGTTCCAGGTTAGACTGTCCTTCAGTTTGTTACATTTACACATGAGCAATGCCAAAGTCTCCAGTAAAATTCCACCAGCTCAGTACCTTGCAGTGTATGATGTAATTGAGAGGTATTTATAAATAAAGTTAAAACATTTTCATACTAGAAAAACTGGCTGTTGTATTATTAGGAAAGGGAGTTTTCATAACAATAGTTGCATTGATCTCACTTTCAGGGAGAGGAATGGATTGAAAATCCTAAGCACAAAAAAAGGAAACCGCCTCCAGCTTGCTTTAGGGTAAAGTATGGAGGTACAAAAGGAAGCTGTGCCTCCTATCTGACAGCAGCACCCTTTATATTTTGCATTTTGTAATCTTTTAGGTAGTCTTTTTATCTGTGTGCAAACTGCAGATTTCTGGAGATAAGTGGCACTGGGTTCTGGGCTACAGCCCCACCATTCCCCAGGCAAGCATCACTTCATCCCACAGAACAGAGAATGAACCTCAATTCACAGGATCCTACAGCATTACCATGACTGGGAGCAGGAAAGAAGAAAACCCATCAGACTTTAAAAATAATTTGATTTCAAGATGTGGCTGTGTCATTTTCATCTCTTTAATCTTTTCCTGGTGCAGCACTCTTAACATTGTTCCTGTCCGATGCGGGCTAAACCGTGACACTGTGCATGTTCTCACCCAAGCCCTGGCCACTTGGGAACATGACAGCCTATGATGATGGGTGCCTGAAGATCCCTGCAAGACGTGAGCATCTCTGGAAATAGCAGTCTGAGCATGGAATGAATTCCAGAACCACAGGCTTGCATGTGGCACAGAGCACTCCTTGGAGAATCCTCTGGAGAATAACGTTTCTGTGGTTTGCAGCAGTCTCCAAAACAAATTCCATTGTGAATCTGACCACAACATCCATCCTCTCAACCTGTAACCTTTGGGATTTTATCCCCATCCTGCAGTGTCTCCATAGCTTTTTTCCCAACCTGCCCCACAGCAGCATCTCTGAATACCTGTGAGAGAGGAGAAAACAGCAGTGCAGGTGCTTCACTCCCATCCCTATCTACCAAAATGGTGTGAGGGGCAGGTTTGAATTGTACCAAGCACCAAACCTACCCTGTGCAGTGAGGAATGGTGAAGCTGTCATTCCTGACAGCACGAGTGTGCCATGAATAACTCAGCTGGACTCACAAGGTGCTGGGATATGCGTTCAGAAGCATCTAAATCAATTCAAGACTGCTTATCCCTTAAATAGAACCAACACTGGATCACATGCAGAGATTTTGTTACTTGGGAGGGGAACTTTGCTCCAAACCCTTTTGGTTTTACTCATTCCACTTAGGAGGAAGAAACCAAAAGTATTTTTAATTTGCCCTTTCCTAGGCTCCAGGACAATTTTCCCTATGCTGTAAGTTGTCATACCCATAAAAATAAAATCATCTGCAGGTCTTCATTTTATCCCAATGTATAAATTATTCTTGGAAGGATGGGAGTGGAGATGACAACACACTTCTTTTGGGGATCTCACAGCCAATCAGTCACTCCCTTCTCCCCCTCTGAAATGCAGAGTGGTGTTATTACTGTGCTGTTAGTGCAATACTCACCTTGTGTGGAGTCAGAAAGTGCAGTGTGATTGTTTCTGCCTCAGTAAACATGGGGATCTCACAGACAAGGCTTTCTTGGACGTTTAGGCACAGCCAAACTCCCCTGCTGTGATGCCAGCTTAGGACTGAGTGTATTTACCAGTGAGATCCAAGCCCTTGGAGACACACAGAGATTCAGACACATTAAACTCTCTTCCAGCTGGAGGAACACCACTGTTGTTCAATGCATTTAATATTTATATAACAGCAGTATCCTGATGCCCCAGTTAGTGCCACAGTGAGGTACTTAATGTGTAGCTCTCTGCTGGGACTATTTTGTTGTCTTAGCTACTCCTTTTTACAAAATAAAGCTGCTCACTGGTCAGCCTCCTCATTCCTCTCACACCAAAAAGCAGTGGGAGGAAATTGCTTGCTCTGCCTGTCTGTTTTTTCCCCATGAATCTGCTTCTTTTCACAATTTCCTGCATCCTGAAATAACACAGAGACATCCCACCTCGTCTTTGATGAGGGATAAAGCCAAATTCTTCTCAACCAGGTGCATCAGCCCCACATTCCTGTCAGTACCAGGAGGCTCCCAAGCTCTCTCCATTCCCAAGTTCAAGTCAAAGTACACCTGGTCACCACCATGAGGACTTGGAGAAGGAATCTGTGCTAAAAACAGATGACAGAAATGAATTCCTGCTGTTGCTGAAGCTTCCATTTGTTACCTGCTCCTTCTTGTTCCTGTATAATTTTGTGTCGTCCCCCCCACCAAAAAAAAAAAAAAAAAAAAAAAAAGACTGCTGGTCTGCTGGTTATAGAGCAACTGAGAAATAGATGAAGGGGAGAATATTCTTGGATGATGATCTGATGACCATCGGTACATAAATGATGTGTAGTGGCACAGAAAGCCCATTCAAAGGATGGGGTTTTAGTCATGCCACTAATGCAGAGCAGAGCAAACCACTCAGAGAATTACAAAATAAAACGAAAGCGACCCCGGCAAGGGTGACGAGGTACCCAGCACTCGCTGCAGGGGGCAACAGACACCTCTGCACCGCGGCACAGCCCGGGTTTGTTCTGCATCGTCCTGGGTCTTAGAGGACACAGCTGAGCCACGCAAAACATCTGGCTGATATTCCCACTGAGGGAGGCCCAAAGCCAGGGGTCCCTGGGTTTCAGACACCGCTTTGTGACACCCATCCCAAATGCTGGGAATCGCCCCAGGCACCAGCACAGGCTGCGGCTGACCAGGGGAAAACAGCTCTGCAGAGGACTTGGGAGTCCTGGTGGACTGAGTTAAACAAATTTCAGTATTTTGATACTTGAACTGAAGTTTTCATGTTCTTCTTGGTTTTAATGGTCCTTATTGTGGATGAGCCAGCAAATCTGGGCACAACATAGCAGCAGCAGGGGGAGAAATGCCAAAGTTCAAGGAGCAGTCACTGTTCAGCAACCAGCAGGAGAGAGCTCAGCAGCCAGCAGAGCCAGACTCAGAAAATGCAAACCTTACAGGAATTAAATCATGTTCTGGTTGATCTTTACAAAAAGAAACTAACATATTTAAAACACAAGGGCTCATTGCTAAGGCTGCTTCAGGAAGAGAAACAAAAAGGTATGATAATTTAGACAAAGTGTTCAAGGCTGTCAAAAAAGAAATTGTGAAAATGATTGCTTGAAGATTAGACACACAAAATACAGAGCTTCTTTTTGCACTTAACAAAAATATGCTGTATGGGCTGCATATTTTATATATGCAGGCCATACATCAATGAAACAAGTTTAAAAGTACCACCATCAAAAAAAAGAGACATTGACAATATTATAGAGAAAAAATGCTGCCATCAGGATGATAAGGAATCTATCACATTGTCCAACAAAAGATACCTCTCTGCTACAAACCTTCTCCTGTTTTATACTGAGTCAGTGCTTTAATACTTTTTCCCCAGAAATGAGCCTGAGTTTGACAAATGGTGCTGCAGCAATGGAAAAAGTCATTGTGCAGAAATTGCTGTCTTCCAGTGTCTGTTCTTAATCAGGTGGGAAATAAAAATAAGGAGAGAAGTCTACTTGGAACCTGCTGAGTCTCTGGATGGGAAGCACCTCCCATGGAAACAACTGGAGTTCTGTCCAGTTGTAAATACCAATAAATCACCACACACTCCACATTCTTCTTTTTTAACATTTTTATTTATCAAAGACAGGACGACTTCTGTAACTAGAGTGATGGGAGAGATCCCAGGACACTTTCATAGCTACAATAAGCTCAACCAAAAGGTACATTGTGGATTACAATCAGGGATTTGGAACAGCATCCTTGTTGTGACTGGTGAACTGGTGTCACGAGCACAAGTGAGGGTCCCCAGGAAGAGGATATCCCATTGGCAATGGACACAACTCTGGCAGGGATATGCCAGCAGCTCCAGAAGAAAAAGGAGGATCTGGCATCCCATCTGACTGAGAGGGTCCCCAGGTCCCAGAGATGTCCCAAGGTCTGTCTCCACCACAGAGCAGAGCAATGTAAGTATTTCAGATTTTGATCTCTCACACCTACAGATGGAGCAGGTATTATTCATGCTATATAAATACACACCTATACTGTGCATTGGCATTTATGAAAGAAAGTTCTGCAAGATTTTAATACACTTAGGTGGAAGCTTGAAGGGTTAAGTTTACATGTCGCTGTTTTCAACAAAACCCAAAAGCTAACTAGGTGGGGAAGTAACCTACATGTGCCATTTCAACTCCTCAGCATTTTATAATTGGTTTTCAGTATACCAATAAATACCCAGTGCAAAGCACATGCTCACCTAAAGTCCTAAGCATGGATAATGTAAGAGGAAAATCCAAAAAGAAGCTATCACATGTTGTCTACATGCTCACAGAAATATATATATTTTAAAAAAAAATGAGAAGTGTTTCTCACTTATAGTAATATTTTGGTTTTGGCTTAAGAAATGTACATGCTTTCTCCCAAAATAACAGCACTTGACAAGGTTATATCGTTGGCTTGTAGGAAAAAAAAAGGTACAGTGATGGGAACAAAGTGTTTACATGACTTGAAACTGAATATTTCCATATTCATCACAAAGACTGCAGCAAGGTACACTTATGATCCAACACTTCTTGTGTTGAGGGCAAATCCACTGCTTGGTTTGTGACAAGGAGGATCCAAAGCAAAACAAATCAAAAACCCACAGAAATGCCAACCAAAAATAATGACAGTTTATGGGACAGGAAAAAAAATGACAGTTTCCAGCAGAAAAGTGTGGAGATTCTCAGTTCATTTGAAGATAATTCTCCCAGGCTTCAGGCCTGGGAAATTTAGAGAGGAAGAATAAAATCTATTATTATCTCTCTTTCTGTTCATGTTATTTATTGATATGTACCTTCAGAGTGTGCTATTCATAGTTCACCAAGAGTGTGAAAGGTTTTTACTTTGAGACCAATCAGATTTCACCTTAGCGATCCTGGTTATAAAAACACGCTACCTCTTAACAAAGGATCCTTAATAAAGGATCTCTGTTTTTCTCCTTCTAAACCATGGAGTCATTTCGTCCACCCCTGACTCAACAGCCTCAGAAAAGCTGCAGTGTTCCTTCTCCTTCACATCACCCACTGGAGCTTGCCCAGGTTCTCCACAAGGTAGCATGACTTCACAAGAGATGATCCTCCCCATGAGCAGGGGGACAGATCAAAAACCCACTAAGTGGTAACAACACACATCTCCTTCCCATGAATGGAGGCAGTGATTTAACAGACAGAACCTTGGGAAACAAAATTACACGGGAATGTTTCTGCCTATGGACAGGAGCTGAAAATATGCTATATAGAAAAGAGTTAATGATTTTGTGTGACTTCATCTTAAAAGGACATCTTACAAATCAGGATTATTACAGGAGCATCCATAACATGGCCATTACAGAAGCAATACTGAAGGCTGCTTTGTTAACCCCAGTAATTGCACCCTCATTGCACAGGTCGTGTTGGCAGCAAAAGAATTCAAAATTATCCAGCAGGAAGGAATCAGCAATTTCATTCACATTGCACTGGGATGTCTTCCAGCAGGAGAAAGTTCTCAATTTACCTATGGAACAAAAAAGATTAAACAGATTAAGAGAGTGTTGACAGTAACACCATTTTTGGTACGGAGAGAGAAGCAGTGTCTAGACTGCCACTGTTAGAGAAAAAAACTGTGAGGAGAAGGCAAAGCTCAGTCTGTGACAGGGCCCATGGTGTAAACACAGAAATTGGATGGAGGCCTTGTGGTCTCTGTTGCCATAGCATCAGGGGGCAGTGGAGGGAGGGGGAAGCTGCATGGTCTGGTTCTTTGATTCCACACCTAGAAATGTTACACAAATCCAGCACAAACCTCCTACCAAGAAATATTCTGTGCAAAGAGTGGAAGGTCTGACCACCCACAGCACCATGCACAGCAGTGGCTAATAAGGTATAAAATGTACCCCCAGTTTCACACCAAACTGGAAATGAGAACTTGACATGAAATTTCAGGGACAGATCACTGGGCTTGGCCTCACACCCTCCCCAGAAGAGACACTTTTTGTATCTTGTGTCTTGCAGTTCATGGGCCATTTATGCCCCCAGCATCAGCCCTACAGTTTTGGTTTTGCCACAGCTATGCACTTCCTTTTTTAAGTTCAAGCATTTAGAAGTTTCCAAATTTGCTTTCACTAGCAATTCAGCAGTGTGTATCCAATTCACCCACTGGGAAATACAGGGTGGAGCTTGAGTGATACCTGGCACCACCAGCCAGCTCAGCCTGCATTCACAGAACCATTTAGGCTGAACAAGACCTCTGGCATCATCAAGCCCAATCTTTAACCCAGCACTGCCAAGCCCTCCACTAACCCATGTCCCCAGGTGCCACATCCACATGGCCTTTAAATCCCTCCAGGGATGGGGACTCCAGCACTGCCCTGAGCAGCCTGGGCCAGCACTTGACAAGGCTCTCAGTGAAGAATGTGCAGAAGACAGAGCTGGAAGAGTAGATAAGGGTGGTAAAACACTGGCACAGATTCTCCAGAGGAGTGGTGGATGTCCCATCCCTTGAAACATTCAAAGCCAGACTCTGAGCAACCTGATCTAGTTGGAGATGTCCATCCTGAGGCACAAATCACTTCACTCTCAGGAAAAAAGAATTTATTTTAATAGTGTCAATTCATAAATGACTGAGCCATTCATCTGCAGCTTTATTTTGTGAGCTACACATCCTTTATCTGTTATAATAGGGTAACAACTTGTATTTGAAATTCAATGCTGTCTTTATTTTTTTACAGCTCCCTTGTGTAGGTTTTTGTTTGTTTCCTTATTTTTTAAATCTGAATAAACATGCTTGTATAGCTACAACTCACACATCTAAATCATTATGTTATAGCTTGGATATAAGCATGACCTTCAAGATTATGTGCAAGTTCCTTTTCAGTGAGGCTGAGATATGCATGCTAGGGCCAGATTAGAGGTGGCCAGGCAATGAAAGCTGATCCAAGTGGGTTTATTTTAGGTCTGTGGGACACTGTACATACCAAATTTCAACTGCAAGCAAGTGTCTTCAGTCGTTAAGCAGGTGCTGTTGGTCCTGCACAGGGTAGGGCTGTTGTCACAGTGGTAACATCTTAAGGTATAACCTAAGACAACAAGGGTTTATCTTCACTGAGTAATGAACTAATAAACTACTGAGACAGCAGCAGCAGCAATGAAAAGGAAAAGAAAAAAAAAAAAAGAAGAATCACTTATCTGCATCTAATTGTCACAAAACATATGCCTGGTTATTAAGCTCAAGACTTCAGTTAAAATTGTTAAGCTCAAGGCTTCAGTTAAAATTGACAAGCTTATGTCAGTGCACCAACTGAGGCTGGCAATTTTGATAGGCACATCTTGAAGCATGTATTTATGTCACTTTTAAAAACACCATTATCTGCCTGCAGAACAAGATATTAGTTTGCTCCTTTTATCTGCTCTTGAAGACTGCCTTTTCCAGGCAATGACAGATACTTGCAGCTGAGCTTTATTCTATCCATTTTTTTAATTCTATCCCCTTTCCCTCTCATACTACACACGAGTTTCCAATTCACACAAGAGGAGTCCCATTTTCTAGCAGCAAAATACCAGTTTTCTGTTGTGTTAAGCAGCACCACATCCTCCCCCCAATTCTCTCTCCTGAGAATCTCCTGTTCTGATTGTCTTGACCCAAGACAATCAGAACAGAAACTGAAGCCTGCTTGGATGGTTACTGACATTCCCCACAGTGGTATTAAATAATCCAGGCCTTTCTCATCTCGCTGTTTTTACTCCCTCTGGCATTTTTTCCATTATTTTCTCAGCCTCTGCCATAACATTAAACCACAAAGTCCTTCTCTTCTACTCACCAGAGCCACAAAAATTAATCAGAACAATGCAGGCACTCAGCAGGATGCAGTTCATCTTGGTCATGCTTCTTCCCTAATTTGAGGGCATAAAGAGATATTACAAGTTTATTTATTTAAGAGCAAAGTGCCCGGTAATGAACCAAGGTTTCAAGACTTGTTTCAGTATAAAATTGAAAGCACTGTCCAGGAAAAGCAGGGAAACACAAGAGAGAAAAATAACTGCACTTTCCAAGGGAGGATTTTTATTCTGAGAATGGGATTTTTATTCTCAGAAGTGATATTGGAGCCCTAACAGGCTCAGATGGGTCTCCTCTCTCTCCTCTCTGATTACACCATTCAACAGGCCTCCCAATTTCTCACAGCTACAAATGCACCTAACAAAAAGAAAGGTCTCAAATGCTTTTTCTCTTTCAGCAATTCGCCGGTAACCCTGGAGCCAGACTGCTCTCCTTTCTCCTCTCTCATGGGGTTGCAAGAGGTTTGGCTGCTCTGCAGGAGCTTCTGCCTCTTCTCTCCCAAAATTTCTCCCTCTCACTGAGGGACTGACACAGGCAATAACTCACCAAGTGCCTGCAGCAGTGGCTCAGGTCTCCATGGCTGCTGCAATCCGTAGGCAGCAGTGAGATGGGAAGGTCAGGACTTTTTTAAACATAGGCAGCTCTAAAGCAGGAGTTCTCAGACAGATTTCTGCACGCAGACTCTGTGCTACGATCACAGCTCCGACTGAAAAACCTCTGCCACTGCAGAGTGGGATAGTCTGAGGAGGCACCAAGCTGACACAGCAGGGAGAAAGGGACCACACTTGTGCTAGGAGGACATGATTTATGTTTGTCTTTAAAGCCCAAGTGGCATTCAAAGTTCCAAAATAATAAAGGTATTCCTAAAACAAGTTTTCATCTGATAAAACTGTAGTAAAACTGTCACTGCTTTTAATTGTGCCTGCAGCTCTAAGATTTTAGCATGGCAGACCTTAATCATGTTGGGATAGAGCTTTTTCCTCCCAGGACAATGATTGTGGACTTGACAAGATGGGTTCACAGCAAAAGAGTATTTAAATGCTTCTCAACCTTAAGTCTAGTTAATTTTTCTACTGACAAAACACCCCAAACCTCATCAAACAAAAAAAACAACAAAACCTACAAAACCTATCCAAAAGAACCTTAAGAAATCCCACCCAATGACTAAAAAACTAACCTGCTCTCTTTTTTCTCCTCTCTGTATGACTTACTGTTGAGCAGAGGGGAAACTATAAAAACCAGAACCATAATGTGCAAGATGAGCTTATTCTCTGGGGTAAACAACTTTGCAAGAAGCCCTTCAAGGCCAGCGGCTCATCCCACAGTGATGTGGATCTGCAGCAGCACTGTCAAGTCTGATGTTACAGCAAGAGCCCTTCTGGACAGCAAACAGAACCACCCTGGGAATCTTTCCATCTTCCAGGAGTCCTCAGTCACCTATGTGTCAGCAGACAAAAACAGCTTTGCCTTTTAGCAACACCAAGTCATGACCAGCATAAATATAAGGCAAATGAATAAAAATTATCAGAGCCAGCAAAACAGTAGTAATTCAATGCATCTATTTTTTGGGCAAATAATTGTTTCTGTGTGAGACATCAGGAAATTCCGACCTTTGAAAAACAATTACTACATCTATAAACAGCAATTCACAAAGTGGCTTAGCAGAAATTAAAGGAGAAAACGCCTCCTAAACTGAATTTTCTAAATTGGTCGTATCAGTCAAAGCATCCGACCCATCTCAATGACAAGAAACAGCGACTGCCACAGCGCGGAAGGCTCAGTGCCCGGTTGTGAGACAGAATTTCTCTGCAGTCCCACCTGGGAGGAGGCAGGCGGACAAGACCCGCCGCTGCTGTCATCGCAGATGCCGGCACGGGGGGAAAAGGGGAGAGGACAGGGGGAAGGGGACCACGGGCCGCCTGCCCGCGGGGAGCGGCTGAGCCCGCGCCGTGCCCGGGCGCGGCGGGGCGGGTGCCGGTGCCTCCTGGCCGCCTTCCACCGCCGTGCGCGGCCGCTCCGTCCCTCGGCCCCGCGCCCGGCCCGCGCCGCGCAGCGCAGCGCACTGCGGTGCGGCCGCCGTGACTCAGGGCACGGCCACGGCCGGAGCACACCTGCCCCGGGCCGAGCACGCAGCTCCGCCCAAACGCTCCCCGCGGCTCCCGGGAAAAGCCGCCTTTCTCCCCGCTTTCTGCCCCCTTCTCTCTCCCGCAGCGGGGACCTGCGCGCTCCCCCCGCGGCCACCGCTGGGCCTCACCGGGCTCCCGGCGCTGCCGCCGCCGCTGCTCCGGGCTTGTCCCGCTCACCTTCCCCGGACAAATCCTGCCGAGTGCGGCGAGCGGCGATGCGATGCCGCCTCAGCCGGTGCTGCCTCAGCCGGGGTGCCTCTCTCGGCGGTGCCGCCTCCGGGGCGGGGCGGGGCGGGGCGGCGCCGGGGGCCGCGGACGGAGCCGAGGCGGGCGAAGCGCTCCCTCAGGCCGGGCGGCGGGGCTGCCTGCGGGCTCGCTGCTCCCGCCGGCCGGGACGGCTGCCAGGAACGCGTGTGCCACCCTCCATCACGCGTCATGTGGCCGTGCCTGCGGCCATCGCCACTTTGGGGTTGGAGGGGAACTTCAAGACTATTCGTTCCTGCCATGGGCAGGGACACCTTCCACTATCGCAGGTTGCTCCAAGCTCCATCCAACTGGCCTTGAGCACTTCAAGGATGGGGCAGCTACAGATTCTCTGGGAAACTTGTGTCAGGGCCTCACTGTGCTCTGATTAAATAATTCTCCCCAATATCTCATCTAAATCCACCCACTGTCACTTTGCCCTATCCAAGGTCTCTCTCCAGCTTTCTTGGAGGCCCCTTAGGAACTGGAAGGTGCTCTAAGGTCTTCCCAGATACCTCATGGTATGAATGAATAGATAAATGAAAACAGTGAAGGGTTTCAAAACACACAAAGGAAAAACCAGGAGTGGAAAGCGGCACGTTCCTTCACAGGTACCTGAATCTAAACATTGACAACTCAGGAAAACATTGAACAGCAATAGAAATGAGGACCTCAAAAGTATTTTAGTAATACTTAGATCCATGCGATCTAGAAAAAAAAAAAAAAGGGTCAGTGCTGACTTGAGGACAATATGAAATACCTGTAAAGTTACCAGCTATATTTAAAAAGGATTCTTAGATTTATTTTTTATCCCACCTAAACTGTGTATTTATTTACTAAACCTAAAGCAAATCCTAAACCACTCAGAACTTACATCAGATTCTCTTGTTGTGTTGATTATCTGTCAGCTCAGTATATTATTTTCTGTCTAAAAGATTTTGCCTCTGTTTAAGCCATAAATAAAAAAGGGAGATAAGAGTAAGATGCTTGTGGATTATTGGATGCAGCTTATTAAATGAGAATCCACTCAATTAATATGATAGAAAAAAAATCCCATATTAATTCACTTCCCTGAGGAACTGGGAACAAGGAACTTCAGCCACAGCTGAACATTTACCTGTTTTCCTTTCCCAAAATCTGGCAAGAGTCCCTCCAACAGAGCACACATTTATCTGTATCATCACAGATAAATGGTATTTCAAACTTGACCTGAATTTTGCACCTTAAATTCCTTGCATTACGTTAGAGAAATTAAACAATGACAGCAAAAATAACACCAGAACCCTGGAATAACTTGCACGGCAACTTTTTTATTTCACTGGCTGGCGCACCACTTGTTTTTCTCTCTGTGATGCAGCGATGGCAAAGAAATTGTGGCCAAAGTTCCCTTCCATGAAACCATTCAGCCAGCAAAATCCCACAAAAGTGTTGAAGGAATCATAAAGAACAATTCTAAAGAGCCTGTCAGCACCAGGACAGAAAAACGACCAGAGCAGGTAAATGTTTGTGTTGGATGTACCAGGGTTTCACCACAAGCTGAGTCACGGGTGTTCAACGTGGCTCGTTTTAGCTGGCCAGGTGAACTCCTAACCAAGCATTAGAGTCAGATCTGCGGCAGGAGAAGGTGGCAGAGCTTCAGCTGAGCCAGCAGGAGGGTGGCTGAAGGGAAGGACATTCCTGTGATTCCAGTGACTGCAGGAAGTGCTGAGCAGCTGGAGGCACTGGAGTGACCCTGCCCCACACTTGTGCTCACCCAGAGCAGTGAGGTGCTGTGTGCGGCAGCGGGACCTCAACTCAGCTCTCTCCTGCTGCTCAGTGAACATTCCCAAAGTCCAGCAGTGCTGCCAAACATCACCAACTCCTTTGTTTTTCACATTGATTCCATGATTCACACCTCTTGGGAGGGGTGAGGAGAGCCACTGGCTTCAGCCCCACTTCAAATGCACGTCATGAGGAGCTGCAGCACTGCTGGCAGCTCCAGGCAACACACCCTGTGCTGAAATAGCTGCCTGAAGCAAAGAAACACCCTTTGGCCTGCTACAAAACACACAGGTGCCCAGGGCAGGAGCAGCAATCCCTCCATTCCCTGCCTGGTTGTCTCCTCACTCCAGACCCCTCTGCCACCAGCTGTGCCCAGAGCTGAGGCCTCAAACCCCGGCACTGCAGCACTCAGGGGCTGAAAGCACAGCACTGTCCTGGATCTTGACTTCTCCCACAGAGAGCAAGAATTCCAGCTCAGAACCACTCCCCAAAAATGTGTGAAACTGCCAAGACTTGGCAGTGTTTGTTGTGTAGAGTCCCATGCCCTTGAGCTGATTCCACTGCGCTAGAACATAGAGATCCTGGGAGGAAACTTCCCAAGAACAGCCTCCAACCATGAGGGTTATCCGTCCCTGGAAACACACACCCCACTGACAGCCCTGCAGGAAGCTCTAGTTCCACTAAAACCTACTTGTACTGATCCTTGACAAAACTTTTGTGGAAATTTCTTACCCCTCACAGGTAATAGTGTGGTAATCCCCAAAAATCCTTGTGTTTTGGAAGCATTCCAGCAATTCAGTGTTGTTCTGACTCCTGTGAGGGACAACACAAGCTGGTTTTGTTTCTGGAGATGCTTCACCTTATGACTGTGGTAGGGATCAGACTCAGTATTTGTTTTTCCACCTTGTGCCACTGTGGAAAATGCACCAGGGAGAGTTGAGCACATGAAGAATCCAATACCTGGACTTGCAAAAAAAAAAAAAGAGAAATCTGGAAAGTAGTCAATAATGGAAAATTTGATTTGGAACCACAATATACCAGTCTACCTCATAAAACCTACAATGTCTGGCTGTCAGCAGAAAGAACTGACTACACCAGTGCTGGTCACAAAATTATTGCTCAAGTCTTGGCAAAAACAGTCCCATGTAGCACTTGAGAACAAAAGAGGCAATTGTTTATTAAGGACAACAGAAACAAAATAAAAATGATAAAGCCAACAGATACTTCTTTAAATATAAATTTTCTAGTCATCTGCTGTTCTGCCAGCCTCATATTTATTTTATTTTCTTTTTTACTCAGTTACAAAAATTCATCCAGGGCTCAGGAAAACATGATACATAACATAAATTTGTCACCTATGACAACAGCAAACATCAACGGAAAAAAACCTCAAAACATATTTACAAATCCATAGTCTGCAGTCATTGAGAAATTCCTTACTTAACGAGTGGCAGATTATGCATGGACACCACATTCCCAGAGGCATTCTCCAGTCAGAGTCACTTAGCATAAAATCCAACTGACAAATAGATTGTCTATAAATAAGGCCAGTTTCACTCCTAATTTATACATTTTGATGACCAGAATTTTTTGCCATTACTATGTTAATTAAAAAAAAAAATAGCATAACAGCACCTAATCTCACCCAAATGGGATATTCAGACCAAACTGCAAGTTTCATTCCCAACAGCAGTTATCCAGAGCAGAAATTCATGAGAAAGGACAATGGGATACACCCTTCTAATGCTTTGTATAAAACCAAATCCCCACACCATATCTGCAGTATGATCATAAGTAGGCAATACTTTAAGAATGTGAGATATGAGTACCTTGGACTATCAAGCTGTTTCACACTTCAGAAAAAAGTAAACAAAGCCCAAAGACCTTCCTCTTCCTCTTCCGGTTTTCCTCCCTCTTCCCCCACTTCCAAACCAGGGAAATAGAAGTTATACTCTTAATGAATATGAAAACTGGCACCAACATTCATGCTAGTTGCCCTGATGTGCAACAGAGTTCATTTACAACAGTCAGAAATATTCCTATGCACTAGCCCTGAAGAGTTCAGCTTATGCAAACTGTTTGGGAAAAAATCCCAAGAGTGTGCCATGGCAGCATCCAGAGGGTGCAGGAAAGTCCAACACTGTACGTGGATCTCAGGAGTCATCAGTGCCTGTGGAATCTTCGTCTTCATCCACTGCAGCTTCATTGGGATTTGCTGCCTAATACAAAACACACCTAGGTTTAAATAAAATCTTCCTTTCTGGTTAATTTTAAGAAAGCACTAACAATTGCCTAGAAAAATCTGGGCTTCATTGTCACACCCATGAGCTGCAGCAGACATCGTGATCTATGTCCCAAAACCAAGGTTAATTTGCAACAGAGGTCACTTTGCCAGGCTGCTTGACCTTTCACTCTCTAAAGATCCACTGGGTTTCAATATTCCATACCTCCAATTATGTAAAGCCACAGTTCAGTAGCTCAGCTGTACCCATTTTCTTGGTGGTTTAGGCTGTCTTTTAGTAAAGTAACTCAAAAAGAAAAGGGTCATTACTACTTTTAAAATAGGAGTGGAGCAACAGAGAAAAGCAAATTACCTTCCCAATCAACTGAAGGGAAGGAATTTAGGAAGGCAGTTACATTCCCAAAAATGTGAGCAAGAGTTAAGAGATGTCATTTTCTGTTAGAAGCACGACATCTGCTGGCACCTACTCTGAGAGCCACTGGGAATGAGTGTCTGAAATCCTGGGATAAACCTGTCACAGTGTGCAAGCAGCTGCTTGCTCCTGAGGAAAGCTCACAGCTCCTCAGTGCTTGCACTAATTCTGGGGATAAAACAAATCAAGAGCTCTTCTCTAAATGTGTCAAAGAAAAGGGAGAAATTATATAATTAACCCACCATCTCCAAACTAAAACTACATGATAATTAACAGCAAGTGAAGTATCTTGGTGATTTGCAAAGTCATTAAGTGACTTTATGAAATGCACTTTCAGCAAGAACTAATGCTCATCACAGTTTTTAAAATGTTATTAACTAGAGCATGTCTGAATAGAGAGATACATTATTATGGCTAAAATTAATGAGTGTGCTCCCACCCTCCCAGCAAGGAGGGAGCTCCGA